GCGCGGCCCGCCTCGGTCTTGACGGTCGCCACCCCGCCCCCGCCGCCGCCGGGCGCCCCGAAGCTCGCCGGGGAGAGCGCGCCCGCCACCTCCGACGCGTGCGAGATGGGCTCCGTCTTGAGCGCCGCGCTCGTCAGGCTCAGCTTGGTGTCGCTGGGCGCCGACGTGTAGTGCTCCAGCGGAGAGGGGCGTCCGTCCACCTGCGGAGGCAACCACAACACGGAACCGGTTACGCGGGGCTCAATGCTTCCTTCTCGCGGCCGTCCTGCTTCTGCTCCGAAGAGTCATACATCAAAGACCGGAACGTGCAATTCGCTTTTATGAATATCTGTAAATTGTGCCTCTTCCCGGTTCCCTTTACCCAATTGCTTCACTAATTTGGCAAAAAAAGGTTACCTATTTTTGACATTTCCGAGAAAATATTTTTGAAATTACTATAATTTTTAATAGTCAATCAAATAAGAGGAATATGAATTAATCGAACATTGCAGCTAGCAAGGAGAAGCATTATTTCCAATACTAAGCCTAATACAGTGTCCGCACACCAATTCACGCACAGAATATTATTTGCGGAAATTTGCTTATCTATGTTATTGATATAACTACGGAACATCATCAGTGAACCACGATATTCTCGTCACATCTTACGATGAATTCTAGCCAGGCTTTCCCATACATTTCTTGCCTATTCACATTAAGAAATCTCCGAGGCCAAAGCTGGAATATTTGTTAAACAACTCGTAAGACTGCAAATCATTAACATCCCGTCGACAGTCCCACAGCGTCGCGTCCTCAGACGGAATCGGCTCCTTCCCCTCGGCCGGCCGCAGTGGGGCAGGTCGGCCGCGCGCTGCGGAATGGTTTGGCGCGGGGGGTGGCAGGGGGGCGCGGGGGGCGTAGGGGGTCCGCGCGGGCGGAGCGAGCACTCACCGTGGCGTTGGGCAGCAGCGGCATGGGCTGGCTGACGGGTTCCAAGCCGAGGCGCATGCGCTTGGCGTTGTGGCTTTCGTTCTCGCACGCCTGCGCCAGGATCTGCTCCGCCTGCACCGACGTCAGATGCGCCGGCGTCGGCCGCGTCTGCAACAGATGCCCGCCCGCCGGGCCGCCGTCAGCGCCGTCGCTCGCCGCCGCCGCCGCCTCACTAACCCAACCCCACTCGCCCGCGCTGGCCATCTCGTCCCGGGATCGATATACTACCGGCTACTCCCTTATCGTTCCGAGCGGGGCAGTTTCTTACGTTTGAAAGATGAGAAACTCTGAATACGGGTCGATATCAAACATAACGTTTCTGGCATGTAACAACGATTGCGCATTAAAAGGAAAGATTAATACGAAACAATGCTAAGTATTTTTTATCATTATTATATCAAGCACCAAGATTTTAATAATATCTAATTAGAACTATAAATGGCCCACACACTCCTCTTATGAAGCCAAACAAGAAGTATGTGTTAAACATTTTCAATTTTTCTCGAATAGTGTCATATTTTTAAAAGAAGTAAAATGAAAAATAATTAAAATTTTGACTAGAATATATAATTTGAAATGAAACGCTCTTTAATGAAGCTATATTCACCACATAATTTATTTGTATAAACAATGTCATCAACCTTTAATTGTAAAACCTAAAAGACTTTAAAATTAGTAATAAAGTTATTTAATCTGCTCGGAACGTCGAGCTTTACAATTCCCTTCAACGCACTAGATCAATCAAATCTTCCACAAATGAGAGAAAACAATTCGTTCTTAATCCGCCCCGAAACGAGTTTGAGACTTAGTCGAAACACTGTGGCCCAGCGGAGGTAATGTCATGCCCCGAGCGAGCAACGAAATGGCGGCCTTTCTAGGAAACGTCCCGGCGCGTCGTACGCCGTTCGGCTGTGACGTCCCGACCTCTGGTGCTCCGGTGTCCGTCACCTCTTTCTCCTGGCGTTCAACACAAGCCAGGGTGCGCGAATAGGAAATGAGTAAGCTTCCGAACCAATTTCGCAGTTCGGAATGTCCTTAAGGTAACATTGAGATATTTTGGAAAAACAATTGTAAGATAAATTACACCAAAAACGAGTAATAAAATGAACATCAAGAGTAAAAACGATCATGCACACGAAACGCAGGTTTGGTTCGGTTTGGTTTTGGGAAATTTATAAAAAAGGAAAGGAACGGGGAACTTAATACGGAGGAAATTAGTTTTCGCTGGATTGAAAGATAGGGCTTTCAAGACATGATCGGGCGATGACAATAAAATCTCAACGCCTGAAATATTATTATATTGATTCTTAGGGAGATATCGATGAATGGCGGAATTGGAAAATGAAGAAGAGAGAATACTGAAAGAGAAAAAGTGAATGAAAAAGGTGCAGAAGTGAGGAAAGAATCGAAATACAAGAAGCGTCTCTTAAGAACTACAATGTGATTATAATGAAAGTGATTGACATTTGTATGATATGGTATTTACAAAAGTGACCAAAGTGCATCGAATACTTGGATTGATGGCTTTAAGTATCAACCACGCCCTTATTCAAACATAGAGAGAAATATTTCGTAAGGATGACGGTCAGAGAAAGGAGCAAGGCACTTGAGTCAGGGAAGGAGAGAACAGAGGCGCGAGTGGATATCACCGCGGCGTTTATACAACGCCAACCGCCAGGGGCCGCCCTCTTTCCGCACCGCTCCGTGAGTCACCCCCACCGCCGCCGCCAGTCCCATCGACTGCGCGACTCCGGCAGGACACAGAATAAATGTTACAAACTTCTCGGGCAAGTAGTAGAGGAAAGAGGATCACTTTTGTCAATGGACATGTACTAGGAAATCTCAGTAGTCATTAAATTACGCGTGTGCTATCTGATCCTAATAAGACAGGCAACTTATCGCGCACTGGTGTGTGGCATTCACATATTCTGACCCAGTCAGAGAGATTTCGAGTTCCTGCCGCACACCAGTGCAAGATGAGCTGCCTCCCATTCCGAGGTACTACGTCAAAAATTTAATATGCGTAACTTCGTTAGTTGAGATTTCCCACCCCATGTTTTATGGGCAAAATGTTATCATCTTCGATCATACTACACTTCCTAGAAAGTAACATTCAGGCCGAGTCGGCCTTTACAGGAGCGGCGAGGAAAGAGTGCAAGACCCTCCGGCGCCGGAGAACAACCATGCGGGCACGGTGGGCACGGCGGCGCCGGGCACACACACAC